AAGTTACTAACTATATGGGCTCAGTACTGATCTTGGGTGTATTCCTACTTTCATATAAAAATCATTTGCCTCTTCACGTATCATACTAACTATAGATTTTTTCAGTTGTTATTATAAATTTTATAGGAACTCGTTTTCTCTGTAAAGTGTACCAAATTACATCCCTTTATACTCAATCATATTCCTTCTCTAAGTCTATAAACATCATATGTAGATTTTTTTACTTGATTTTACAATATTCAGTTAATGGTCTAATTAAGTAAATGGCCTCTATAATGGATCTTCCTGGCATGTATATCTGTGACCAAACACTATTGTATTATCATTTTCTATTATGTCATTGTAATGCTCATTAACTGATATGTCAAGGTAATATGCTGAAGTAATTAACCACTTCAGCTTGTTATTTCATTGTAATGCTCACAAATTAACCACTTCAGCATATTCCCTAGGCCACAAGTACAGTTTTTGAAGATATTCTCTTGATTTTTTATGGGTGAGATCGGAAATTTTCACTAAGCGAGTGTCCTGTAGTCAAACACTAAGCTTGATTAATTCTTTGTCAGGTACCCAGTCCTTGTATTCTAGCTTAAGCCCAGAAGTAAGTTCTAAATCACTTCGAGATTCTTTTAGGCAATTATTTATCTTAACAGACTACCCAATTCGAATTGATATCTCAACCTCAATTAGAGCATCTTTTATCCACAAATCACTAGGGTATTGTGTATCAGTTCTATTTTGAGAAATGAAACTATAGTAGATTTTACAACTTTATAAACATTCATATATATGTAAAAAAAAAAAAAAAAAGTCTAATATTGTTCGTGATTGTTATAAATGTATATGAATAAGAAAAATGAGGAATGCCGCGGACAGTCACTCTCTCGCCATATACTGATGACATGTATTCTTAAATCTTGACAAAATAAGTAGGATGTAATTGAGGAATTAACGGAAAACAAAAGGAAAAAAAGAGGGAAAAAAGGAAAATACTTTAAAAAAAAATTAAGCAAGCAGGCTATGGGACCGGAGAGAAACAATTGTGCTTGTCACAACTCTTCTTAGTTTCCACCAAAAATAACAAAATCAAATTCTGGTAAATAAACAAGTAACAAAATCAATATATATGGTAGAATTGTGTTCAACATAAATCCTCCCCCCCACCCCCCGCCGCAAAAAAAAAAAAAAAGTGTTCAACATAAATCCTCCCCCCCGCCGCAAAAAAAAAAAAAAAAAAAAAAAAAAAAAAAAGGAAAAACACGCACACAACACACGTAACAGAAGGAAATTCTGGTAAAAGAATGAGCAACAAAATAAATTAAAAAGTTTTTTTTGAATTTTCAGAATCATTTTAAATGACTGAACACTTCAAAACTCTTTTCTTTTCTCCTCCCACCCCTAATGAAATAGATCAACCTCATGCATGAAACGATTTTCTTCTTGAACCAAACTTATAACGAGTCCTTCAATTTCTTACCAAAAAATAAGTTAATCATACCCAAAGAACAATTCTCAAATGAAGAATTTACATTAGAGAGGCATTTGTCTTTGCATTTATTGAAGCACTTTACAGAATAAGAATGAGAAAGTTCCCCCCCTCCCCCATAACTCCATAAAACATCTGGTCAATTACAAAATTGAGGCCCTTAATTCACTGTTATAAGTTCCTCAATCCATACAAGGGCCATTCTAGGATTTCCAGTGAGTCTTATCTCCCATCATAACCATGCTGGCAAGTCCATTATGCTAAGCTGGCATGGCCTTCCCTTTTGAATTGGAAAAATGGAGTGCTACTCTTAATGGTCAGATACGGCTTAATAATCGCCGAAAGTGGGTTGTGAGAGACACGTAGTCTTCCCTTAAGGGTATTGGAGATGTAACTGACATGATAGAAACTGACAATGAGGTTATCAGTGGTGCAGTGAAAAGAACATGGGAAGATCAATAGAGGCTGAATATATAATTTTTATTTTTCTTTTTTTCATTTGTCTTTCTTGGTGAAAGAAGGAAAAGAGAGAATTAAACATGTTCTGCCCACTTTAGTTAATTCCCTAAGAATATTTTCAAGCAGTGCTATGTGTCAATAAAATGTGGCGAAGGTTGGCGACTAATGGACTGGAGTTATAGTTGCTACTTGCTAGCATTGCTCAAGAAAGAAACTTCGGAGATACAATTGAAGTATTGAACTTGATGCAGCACTCAAAACTAAGTGTGAGTATGTCAATTTGAAGGAATGATATATCAAGTCTAATATGTACACAATGAAATCAACCTTGCAAATCCTTAATTTTGAAAACCCACCTCAGATTATGCACCACAAACAAGTATAGATTAGCCGTGTTGATGGCATCTTCGAGTTCATGAAATTAGTTGTTTAATCTACTAAATTTGTTGATGTTCTGCTGATGCTCCCATGTCACTTCCGTTTCAGAACCACCGCCCTGTACAGTTATAAATTAAGAGAGTGATGTGAGACCCAAAAATTGGAAAATCTGGTGAACACATTGATTGAGAATGAGTAGGCGATGAGAGAGAAAAACTACCAAAATTAGGGTTTTTAATGTACTTACCTGCTGCATTTGCTTGATCGAAGAAGGCGATGAGAGATAGATGCCATGAGACTTCTGAAAGTATTGCCGAATGATGTAGAGGTGTTCTATTGGGCCGCATCACCGTACATGGCTATGTCTCATTGAACCCACTATTTATGTGTGGTATTGCCCCATTGGGCCTGTCGATACACATTTCAGCGTCCCATTGGATTACGCCGTTCGCATCTGCACCTTCTTCATCATGTTTATTCCTTTCTATAAATAAGGTTGACCCCATCAAATTTCAAGTGAGATTATGGAACTTCTAGTACATATTCAACACAATTTCCGCGCATTTTGTGGAAGGGTGTTAAAGCATTTTTATTCACAGCAAGATAGCTCCATACTTTTCTCTGAACTGAAATAGGCACTGAAAGGGTAGATTCCAAAATTTGGATTCCTTGGTAGTACCACCCTTTCTCTCTTTTTCTCTCTCTCTCTAAAGCACCTCAGTTTTCACGTAGCCTAATTGATACTCGCATTGTAATTTGTAAAGTTTTCAATACTCGCAAGAAACCACAAAACTGAAAAATAAATTAATAAAACAACTGTAGCAGCAGCAAACTTAAAGGACATTGATCAAGAAAACACTTGTAATCTACTAAAAATACATTGCTCTTCAAATACTTGTGTGATGTTGTGGCCTGAAATTTTTTCCAGCCCAAGCCACTTTGCGACTTGGTTATGACCTGAAAATGGAAACATTTTGACCCGTTTTCTCTTGCGGGCTGTGGACCCTGTTTATTAGTCTCTTGTAGCCTAGTCTATAAGGGCATTTAAGGTTTGGGGTATGAAACTTGTAATCTCTTGTTTTTCGCATAGTAAAGTCTTTCACCGGATTTTCACCGTGGACGTAGCCCAGATTTTGGGTGAACCATGTAAATCTGTGTTCTTGGTGTGTGGCGTGTTTATTTTTCTGTCGGTGATTCGTGATTTGTTCTTGGTTCACTGCGTTTGTCGTATCAACTTGTAATGTCCTAGGATACAAAATGATGCAGTCAAAGACAGGTTAGACCTTCAAGGTCCCGCCGCGCACGCGCGGGGGGGGGGGGGGGGGGGGGGGAAAGGTTGTGGCACAAAATTGGGCTCCCACCTTTTCTTTGTTGGAAAGGAGGTATGGATAAGATAACCTCTATTTTCAGGATTTCAAATGCATGGAGGGCCTGAAAGCTGCACACTTGCCCAACTACACTAGTGCCAGACCCTTGACAACTCCCAAGGTGGAGGAAGAATAACCAAGTGAAAGTGATAGTTAAGAGGCACTCTGGCAGCTCAGCAGAAAATCACATAGCTGATGCCTTGAATATGTTGAGCCCGACACACGTATTGGTCGACACTTGGCACTTCTGTCTCAAAGTAAAAATAAAAAATCCGGACTTTATAGTCCTTTTGTTTATATTCTCTCAAAAGGTCATAGCTCATTGCTTCAATTTCTTTCAACATTCATCTTTGATATAGAATGCAAAAAATAATGGCTTTGCCATATGACTTATTTCATAGTTTTTGAGATCTGCTAGATTATGGTGTAACCACACCCTAATTTATGCATATTTGTTAGTATCACGTTTTCTTGATAGGCACTTTTTTGAATAATTCTAAGTAAAGGAGTCAACTACCTCAACCTAGTAACTAAATGATATGTCTGATGTACGGGATCCCAGATTCTGACAAGGGTGGAAACTGAATACATTCTCAGTATGACTTCCCTGGCAATTCTCCAAAATGACACATTCTGCTTTCTTATAACTGCATATTTCACAACACTGAAAAATTTTCAATGTGTTTTCCCTTCTCTTTGAACTCACCATTACCTTCTTCTGTGATAGATTAAGAATTTTGTTTACATACACATTAATATGTGGAGAAAATATCAATAAGTAAACATTGCATTCTGTGGTTGTATTGTTCTAAGTGAAAAATAAAAGCTATGCTAAAACAAACTAGGTTCGCGTTTTGCTGATTTTGATTATGTGAAAATGAAAGAGAGCTAGATGCATAGGAAAGGTAAAACGGTCATAAGTATTTGTCTGGATATAAAGTAGGATTCACTTATTATTGGAAATCTCTGATCATTTCAAGCAGTTTATGGATCTTGGTAATGCCACTTACTCTTCACCTTTGCATGTACTTGAGACAATCTTTTAACCGTGTGGTTGGTAGATCTTTTGCTGAAAAAGTGTATGATGAGAATATTCTATTCAGTTCCACCACCAGCACTTAAATTATTGCATCTCTAATTGTTTTCTGCCTTTTTAAATATCCAATTCGTAAATCTATTGTTATTTCTTTGCGAAAGGGTGTTCTAGTTTCCATTGTCCAAAAGTTTCTTAAATTTAAATTGATGCTTAAATAAATCTATTTATCTGACCAGTACTTTTTGCTCTTAACAACACGACCTTGAATTTTCAGGCCCTTGACACTTTCAACACTGCAATTGTTTCCCCTATATATTACGTCATGTTCACAACACTTACAATCCTTGCGAGTGTCATAATGTTCAAGGTAATGTCAGTTCTCCGATCTTACATTGGATGTATTACTTCTTCAAACCATTTGTCAAACGTAGCTTTATTGTAAGGTTGGATTCATTGAGAGGTAATGTAAAATTATATTTTCCACCCCTCTGGGAATGACCTCGCAAACTCATTCTTAATGAGGCAAGAATACTGGAGGTGACTGCTACGCATTGATTGTGCAATGGCATGACTGCAACTAATCACATGATATATCCCATAGTTAATTGTTTCAACTAGATCCTCTCTGTCACATTATATATATGCAAGATCAACCTTCTGATGTCGTTTTTAACCCAACCAAACAACCTTCTGATGTCGTTTTTAACCCAACCAGTATGTTACATATTCTTCAGAAGTAGTTGAAGTATCCGTGTCAGACACACAATGCTTAGACATGGGTATGAGATATGTGTATGATACTTTTAGCTGGACATGCACTAACATATTCAATTTTATTGCTTCAAAAACTAGTGAAATGCCTATATTGACACTGTTACATAGAGACATTATTTTATTCTAAAAAAATAGAATAAATATATTTAAAAAATATGAATATTTAGCAGTATCCATGTGTCCTTTTGTTTTGGGATTTAACACGTCCAACGTTTGGCCTAACCAGAAATTATCCCATCGTAAGCTCATTGTTTCTAATTTACTAATATGGGAAATATATAATTACAGGATTGGGATGGCCAAAGTGGGGGAAGCATTGTATCAGAAATATGTGGCTTTATTATTGTGCTCTCTGGAACCATATTGTTACATGTGACCAAAGATTTTGAAAGTTCATCTTTCAAAGGTGCGTGATTAATTTGTTCATTCTCTTTCCTCCCTATCGCCAAATTCACTCATTTCAATCATAAACCACTTAAATATTCAATAGTTTTCGATGTTCATGCCTAAATTTTTAGAATAAATGCAGGTAATTACGCATCCTTGTCCCCTTCATTATCAGCCCGACTGTGCAGTGGAAATGGGGAACAACTGAAGTATGAAGAGGAAGATGAGCCATGTACCGAAGAAAGTGGTTTGAGAAAACAAGAACGCTTCCAGCGACTGGCTGCCTAGCAGAAGGCAACCACTTTTGATACTGAGCAAGGTGAAATTCAAGTTCAAAGAACTGTGACAAATGGAATGCAAGTCAATCCAATCATATATAGCCAAAATTTTCAAGAACTTGTTCGGTTGGTTATTTAGTCTCTGTAAAATCATCAGTGTGGATATGAGATAGCGATTGATGCTTACATTTTTCGGGGAGTGAACTTGTATAGTTTATCCTAGGTTCACAAAGTTTAGAATGTAAAGTGCGGTTTTGCTTATTGTGTTACAGCAGGAATACTGGTTTTAGGGTAGTAAAATCAGATTGCACAGAACTAGAAGACATGGAAACCTAGATCTGAATGAGGACGGCCGGGATCTACTTTGTCTGAAGTATCTACGCTGAAAATCGACGTACCTGAGAATTTGAGCTAGATTAAGAGTAGTGATTTTTGTTCATTTTTTCTATTGGCTGTATTTCCTTACAACATAGTACAAGAAATCAGTGTGTGAATAACATTTGTTTTCCAATTATTGTTGTCTCTTTCATTGCTAATAAATTCTTTTTCTCTTTTTCTGTTGAGATGAATAATTAATATCAGATTTTCATTTATGAGAAACTCTCTTAACACTCACCATCTGGTTGTATCTTACAGGAGAAACTTTTCTTTCAGCCAAAAAAGTTAAAGAACCCCTACACCCTTAACGACATGACATGCTTTGAACCCTCAATGAAGTGAATTGCAGTTGACTGCACAACACTGAACCATCAACCAACAGTAAATTCGCTTATTTGAAGTAATCATGTATTGTGAGAGTGTTTTTAAGAACAATTATGTCATTTCCTTTTCTAGAAAAGAGGCAAGTGGAGTTGACAAAAAAGAATGTGAAAATTTTTCCCTGATTAAAAATCAATGTGATCTTTTAGTTGTTTTTAGATCTTCTTCTTGTATTGATACTGTCAATAAGATTGTGCTGAAATTTTGTTTATTTAGATTATTAGATTATAAACTAGGGACACGGGTAAAAATAGGGCACCGTCACGAACACGGCAAAAATGTCAAAAAAAGAAATAAATTATACAAAAAAAAAAAAATAACTTTTTAAAATATCTGAATAACCATACACATTGTAGTAGATGTCTCCACTTCTTCCTCAGTTCTTTTATTTTTCCTCTCTTCTTGACGCTTTCTCTCTCATTGATTAGGCGTACATTTTGTAATGAGAAGTGGGAACAAAACTTCAAACAAAAAAACAATGGCAAATTACATATACAGCGAGGTTTTCATCTAGTGCACCTAAACAGAAGTATGCGTCAATTAACAACAAAGTCTTGATTAGTTGACCTTTGGAGATGAAGGTAAATTTACTTATATGACCTTCAATTGTTTAAAAGAAAAATCTAGAAGGGAGTGGGTGAGTATAACTTACTGTTGTACCCCTCCTCTCATATTCTCCTCATTTTTAATAGTTTATTTGTCATTTTAGGTTTCAATAAATCATATTTACCCTATATCATGTTTTTTTGTTTATTTGTCACATTTCGATTGATCATTTTAAGGCTTACATCTAAAAAAAACCAATATTATCTCTATATTTTGTTCTTTTGGAATGATGTAATTTCAATTCAATTAATAGACAATTTGGTCTTCTCATAATAGCAATGTTATTTTTGTCTAAAAATATGGTCACCATACACTAATTGATGCATCACTCAAGAATGGTGGTCATGTGTTAGGTCAATAAAACCACAAGGGTGGTTGCCTAGTATATGGCGTATACTTCTATTTAGGTGCACGAGATGAAAACCTAGTGAGTACTATCTGTAATTTGTCCAAAAAACAAACAGAAGATATGAATATCCTTGCGTTGTTCGGCTTTTAAGCTTAATTTTTATATATACACCCCATTAGATTTTAAAATTCGAGTTGAGCTCCATGGTTTTAGAAGAAATATTCACAAATTGATCCCGTGGATGTCATTGTCGTTTTTGTCCGGCTATCCTTATGTTGTTTTGGCTTTTAAGCCTAATTTTTATTTTTACATATACACCCCATTAGATTTTAAAATTCGAGTTGAGCTCCATGGTTTTAGAAAAAATATTCCCAAATTGATCCCGTGATTCTCGTCGTATCTTGGACATGTTCTTGGCATATTCGGGCCATGTCATTGTCGTTTTTGTTTGAGTATCCTTATGTTGTTTGGCTTTTAAGCCTAATTTTTATTTTTACATATACACTGTGATGACCTTGTGAACGGGTGTGTGAGTGTTTGCAGGTGGCACCAATAGACTATCACACTAGGCGAGCTACCAGTGCACAATTTTCACATCGCCTGGGTGTGGATGGAGCAAGTGCTATATGTAAATTCAATACCTTTTTATGACACTACGCTTTTTAAAGCTGTGGTAGTCGTGAACCCATCAGAACTCTAAAATTAAGTGTGCTTAACCTATAGTAGTATCAAGATGGGTGACTGCCATCTGAAAAGTCTCCTGTCCTATCCGGAGAGTCAAAAATGCATAATATTATGCTGTTAAAATTTGAATTGAGCTCCATGGTTTTAGAAAAAATATTGACAAATTAATCCTGTGATTCTTGTCGTATCCCGGCCACATTGTCATTTTTGTCTCAAAATTTAATTATTTAAAATGTAAAAATTTGTAACCGTGTTCGACCATATCTCTAAAGCTTTCGTGTCTAGCACTGACACAACAACTGTGACAAAGTATTAGTACTTTCTAAATTATAAACATAAACCCCATGGGAAAATAAATAAATAAATAAATATTTGAATAATGCGTTTCTTTGTGATTAATTATTTATGCTTCAATAATACCAATAATCAATCTTAATCCAAAAAAATCCTTATAGATTATTCTACATTTATAAATTAACCTCGTGAACTTTAATAAACTCCCTCAAAGATAAATTATTTGTGCTAGTGATTTATCGGAGTCTCAAATTCCCCTGAGAATCGGCCATTTATCAATAGTAATAATCAAAATGCATAGCATGAGTTGATTATTTGACTAAATTTGCTAGTCATAAATTGAAAATTTAGTACTAAAAATTTTAGGAGCTGGATTTTAGGTACTCTAGTTTTTAAGTGATAATTTAAAATAAAAATATTTTTTTTTATATCTTTTTAAATTTTAAGTGATAAGTACTTTATCTAACACTTAAAATTATGCTGTATTATCAAATACACATAATTAAATAAATATTTAATTACTTTAGAATTAAGTGCTGAATTGAGTAATAAAAAACTACATACCCATCAAAAGAAATTAACTCTTGATTAGTCAATTCACCACTTAATTCTCAACTGGTTAAACTCTTATCTAATTAAGTGTGTTTGATAAAACAATTTGAATATCACTTAAACTGGTAAGCGTCACTAAATGTTGAAGCCAAATTTTTTTTTAAATATTAAAATATTACAATTTTTCAATTACTACCTACAAACTTTAACACTTAAAATTCAATTTAGTACTTCAATTTTATAAAACAGTTTTATATAGATTGAAATTTAGGACCACGGGGAAGGAGAGAAGCAGTTTCCACTTCAACAAATGTCGTCCTTTGATTTTTTAATTTTTAATTTTTAAACATGGATAATGAAATCACGTATAGATAGATTTATTGTTTTGCTTATTTTTCATAAGAAGCAGATTCGTTTTATATGTAGAAAAAAAAATTCATATTTTTGTTTTTCAAGATTTATCCTTTATTTTTATTATTTATTTTTAAATTCTCACATGTTATGGTACAACTAATTTTTTATTAATTGAGTAAAATAATATTATTACTAAACTTTTTAAACAACAACAACTATTTAAAATTTAAATATAGGTGTCACTACTTGTGAGAAATGATTTTTGAAGAATTTAATAAAATATATTTAAATTTTATGTTTATTAAATTATATTGTAAAAAATATTGTATTGTTGCATTTTGAATTTATGTCGGGAAAAAAAAATAATTTGCTGAAGTTTTCCCAAAAAAAATATTAATAATAAATAAATAAGTAAAAATAGTATAGAATTACATTTCTTTCATTCCTATCCCTATTTCTTAATTCCCAAGTTTCATTTGGGTCTATATTCCACTCCTCACGCTCTTTGTCACGGGTTGTTTGCTTTTTCAAATATCTCAAGGTCTATTCTGTACTGAGCATAGATTGATACATAGCAATGGAAGCAAAGATTGGGCAATTCTTCGACTCGGTCGGCAACTTCTTCACCGGCGGCGATCAGATTCCATGGTGCGACGCCGACATCGTCGCTGTAAGTATTTCAGTCCCCCAATTCCGTTCTCCGATCTGATCAATTTTTCAGTTCTTTTTCCGAGAAGAAATCGATTTATTTGTCTGTAAATTTCTCTCGACTCTTCTCAATTTCATGATTTCATGGCCGATTTTTATTTATTTATTTAATTTTCAAGTGTCAACATCATGAATGCTAGCTGAATCTTGTTTGGTCCGAAATTTTTGTCCAGATTTGATTCGTTTTCTCTTGATTTTAATTTGAAATTTGTGAAATTAGCGTCTTCTTGTTGTAGTTTCTGATTCTCTCTACTTGCACACACAACACATACGCACACATATTGATTGTTTAATCGCTATTGGTCCATTTAGGTATTAAATATTTAGTCTCTAAATTAAAATTGATTTCTGTAATATTATTTTGGAGCACAGTTGAACGTTGTCTTTGTATTACATACATGCTGCTTATTTTAACTTCTACTAGAGTGGAATGGAGTGTGTTAGAATTGTAAGCTACACTCTGTTGTATATATTGGAAAAATAGGTTGATGTTTGTTCAAAATGTTTGCAATAATTGAAGAAAAGTGTAATACAAGAGAATTAAAATAAAATTAATTGGAATAAAAAGCTAATCTGCTGAGGCAGGGAATTTAATTCTTTGTCGCTAAAAGTGTATTGTTTGAGGTAATTACAATTAATATAAGTGGTTCCCCAACAATTGCTGTCCAGGAACCAACAAGCTTCTATTATTTGTACTCACAATAAGGAGTTTGGATTCGTCTGAATGGTGTTTAAAAATAAGATTTCCAAAAAATAGAGAATGCTAAAACTTCTGCCATAGATTTGTTGGGAAAATGTTGAAAAAATGGCTTCAAATGTCACCGGAACGACTTGGGAAGTTGCCAGAAATTTATAAAAAATGTAGAGAGTCACTAGAGAGTTGCTAGAATGTCACTGGATTGTTGCCAGAAGTTTAATGGAAATCTTTTGAAAAACTGCTGAAGTTGAGAGCGTTGAGAGAATTAGACTTCAGAGATATACTATTGAATTGATTCTGGTGCTTTGAGGCCTCGGTCTAAAATCCTCCATATAATAGTAAATAGTGGGGCATGATTTTGAGAAATGATATGAACCAAATTCAATTTGCGGGGTTTGATTCTAGTTTTAAATCTGGATTTCAGAAAGAGTTGGATATGACCTTCTTTACTTAAAAAAAAAAAATCATTTCTCGAGTTCAATCCGATCCATTTGATGTCCTAGTGAATAGTTTAAAGCAGGCTGCCCAACAGATGAAACAGGTGTCCCAAGGCTACTCCATTGAGTATATGCATTGAATATTTCATTAAACAGCCTGGTAATTTGCTGTTGTGTCTTTTTGTAGTCCTTCCTGCATCTCAGCAGTGCATAGGGTAAGGGATTATTAACTGGAATTAAATTGTTAGGATCTGCCATTTTTAGTGATGTATGGGAAAAATAATTTTGCCTTGCAGTGTCTTGTAAAAAAGGCAAAAATATAGGCTATGCGATTCCATTGATCCTGTGATTAATAGAGTTGCAATCATCTTAGGTTATATTCGCACACATGGTGAGTTCGCTTCATGCTAGGCTTTTAGGGAGTATTGGATTTTATTAATAACATTGGACATCCAAATTCCACTTATCCTTGCTCAATGAAAATAGGGGAGAAATTTTTCCACAAGCAGGGCAGAAAATATGATTCTAACCAGTCTACATTTGTTTTGGTGGCTTTGGGTCTTAACTCTTAAGCCCTAGGTCAAGGTATCAAGACCGGTAGAGAGAAGAAAAAAGTATATATATATATTTGATTCCGACTTACAGAGAAATAAATTGACATTTTTATTTCATTTCTTTGGTTGGTTTGTTACTAGTTTTGCCGTCAAAGTTATTAAATTTGGTAAAGATGTCTAGTCATTTGCCCCGTATATGAGCATATTTGTTAAAGGCTCAAGGCGCACAAAAGCGCAAATGCCTCCTGGAGCCTGAAGCGCAAGGCAAGGCGCGCGCCTGACTGAAGCAAGGCGCACGTTGAAAAAAAAAAAAAAACACAAAACCCACCCAATAAAGTATTAAAGATGCAATAGTATATATAAAGATGCAAAAGTCAACTAAATGAATTACTTAAGTTAAATATTCAACATAAAGATGCCAAAACCAAGTAAATCAAGTACTTGAGTTCAACAGTGACTCTTTCACTTCAAATTTTGATTCTATTTAAGTGAAAGTTTAAGTGACATATAAAGTACATTATCAAATAGACTAAATTGAACAATCACTTAATTTCTTCAACATTGTAAGTCTCAAGAATTGGCTCATAACTCGAATTGTTTCTAATAGCTCCATTGACTTCTTTTTTTCAACAAGAGAAAAAGAAGTCATGTAACTCGGCTCTGACCAATCTGGTTTTAGGTTTTAGATTTCAAAGTGTCAATGAATGACATAAATTAATCGAATTTCATCTTCCAGTTCCAATAAGATATGCTATTTATTCAAACTGACAATTTAAATTAGGAAATTTTAAAACAATTTAATTAATTTCTTCATTTTTCAATGATATATACCAGGAAAGAGTCGAAAGACAATGATCTACAACAATGATATGCTATTGAAAAAAATATAAATAAATAAAATAAAAGAAGAGCCGAGACGAGAGAAGAAGAATAGAGAGAGGAAAAAATAAAAAAATAAAAAATAAAAGAAGAGCCGAGAGAAGAAGAAATTGAAGAATAGAGAAAAAAATAAAATAAAAAAATAAAAAAATGCCAAGAAGAGCCGAGACTCGAGAGAAGAAGAAAAGAAGAAGAAGAAGACTAAAAAAAAAAAAAGAAGAGCAAGACTTAAGAGCCGAGACTCGAGAGAGCTGACCGCCGAGAGAAGAAGAAGAACTGAAGAAAAGAAGAAAAAAAAATAAATCTGAGAGTCTCCGGAATAAAAGAAGAAAAGAAGAAGAAGACTGAGAGATCCGAGAAGCAAGAAGGAGAGAAGAAGAAGAGAGGGAAGGAGAACTTACCGGCTTCGCAGATCCGACAGATCCAAGACTCCAAGCTTCGCAGATGAGGCTCGGTCCAGGCTCGTACTTCTCTGTCCTTTACTCCTTTTGCTTTTTGGTAACTTTTTTCTTTTCTTTTTCTTTTGTAGTCTTGTATAGGTTTTGTAATAAAAAAATAAAAACTAAACAAACAATAAAAAAATAATAAACCCATACACAACCAAAATAATAACAAAAAAAGTACAAAATATATATACTTTCAAGCAGGCGCGCCTTTAAAGCGCCTGTAGCCTCGCGCCTATTCCTTAGAGGCACTCGCCTAGTACAAGGCAGTCGCCTTGAGACAATCAAGGCGCCTTGCGCCTCAGGTGCACGCCTTCGGCGCCTTTAACAACTATGTATATGAGCAAAGTGACTTGTGACCCAAAGCAGTCATGTCCACTTGGTTAGAACTACTGACTGAAAAGAGCTTGATCTCACCCCTACTTGAATAGGTGAGTGGATTCTTAATATTATTTTTTGTTGGGCTGGAGGGGTAGGGTGGTGTCTTAATCAGCAGGTAGATATAAGATATTGTCGTTTTCCCAAACTCACTGAGCGAGACAATTGAAGGTGGCGAATGTAAGGCTTGTCGCTTGACGTATTAATGGAAAACACCACGCGGAATATGTTAGCTCTCCTACTATGATACACATCTCTATGATATAACCACGAATGACCAAATAAGATGCATATGTGGTAGAAACATTGCCACACCGGATGGAATTACTATAGCGATAGAGGAAAGTTAAAAACCAAAAAACAATTCGTTGCCAGCTTAGAAGTTCCATCTACCCGCCACCTTATAGGATTGACGATATATTTTCATGGATACTTGGGCAATATATCAATGTAGCTGCTCCATCAATAATAAGCTTGTGAGTTTTGTTTATGTTAACAAACAAAGGTCTTAAAATTTGACCAATATCACCGTTTTCCTCCTTAAACTTTAAGGCTATGTTTGGTACGGTGGGTTTGAAGGGAAAGGATAACATTAGTTATGAAGGAAAGGGAAGGAAATGGAAGAGAATGATAATTTTAACCTTCTATTGTGTTTGGTTGATTAATGAAAGAAAAGAAAGGAAAGGATAATAATCATGTTTGGGAAAAGAAAGGGAAAGAAAGGAAAGGGAATTATTTTAATAAATTGACTATTATACCCTTTTATATTTTAAAAAATAAATAAATAAATATATATATATATATATATATATATAGTCTCTTATACTTGCACAAGAAAAGAAAAAAAAATTAGGGCAAATCATTTCAACCTCCCCAATCTCGCCTCCATCTCTATTTTATATATATATATATATATAATCTCCTATACCTGATGGGCCACAAGAAAAGAAAAAAAAAAAAGAAATTTTAGGGCAAATCATTTCAGCCTCCCCAATCTCGCCTCCAACTCTATTCTCATTCTCAACTCTGAAGTTGCCCTCTCTATCTCTCTCTCTACACTACAAGAATCAGAAGTTCAAAACCCATATATTTCAGTTTATCTATCTGTTTGCATGAATCAGAAGTTCAAAACCCGTATCGGTATATCATTTCAGATTGTTCAGAAAAACAAAACCCATATCTTTCAGTTTCCATCGCCGCTGTTCCAGTTCGGGTTCGCCGTTCGCAAGCTTCAGCCGCTGGCCCGCCGTCTCTCATTCTCTCTGCAACTACTAACTTGTATGTATATTGTTTTGCAAACTTGTGTAATCTTGAGGGTAAAATTGGCATCACAACTCCTCCATCAGCCATTGCCTAACCTTTCCTTCCATTTCCTCCCATTTTTGGGAGGATAAGCAAATTACTGTACAAAGCTATACATAACCCTCCAAACCCTTCCCTCTCCTTTCCTTTCCTTCCACCCATTTTACCCAAACACAATTTTTTAATCACCCTCCATCACCTTCCCTTCCCTTTCCTCCCATTTCCACTCTACCAAACTGAGCCTAAGGAGTAAGGGCTGTTGGGACATGTTA